GCCAGGCGGCTCTGCACACTGCCTTCACCTGCAGGCACCGCCCCTGCAGCTTCCATTGGCCACAGTTCCCAGCCAAAGGGAGCTGCAGTGCTGGCACTTGGGGTGGGGGCAGCGCCTCTGCCTAGGAGCCGAGGGACATGTCGCCACTTCCGGGGAGCCACGCGGAGCCAGGTAGGGAGTCTGCTGTGCCGCCAGCCAGACTTTTAATGGCCCAGTCAGCGGTGCTGACTTGAGCCACCAGGGTCCCTTTTTGACTGGGTGTCCCGGTCGAAAACCGGACACCTGGCAACCCTAGTTGGGGGTGGGGGGCGTGCTGCCTGCCTGGCACTCCGGAGGGCCAAGGGAGGGCGGGGGGCTAGCCTCCTCAAGCCCGCAGTTCACCTGCCACCCATGGACAGGATCCATGAAGCTGACAGTTTACCATGGTGTCTTCCAAGCGTGTGCCCGGGGCTGTTCACAGGCTCTGTTGTGTGTCTTTCCTGTGTGCCCTGCCCACAGCCCCCCATTAAGTTACACCGATACATTAAAAACAGGACTTTCTAATAAACCACCACAGCAGTACAGTAACTTTACCTCACTGACCAGCTCACTTCCAATAACCACCCGTTACTATCCATCAGTGTGCACAGAGTAATACATGTCCCTGCCACCCTGGGCACCCTCAGCACTTAGACAACATTTATCTCCTTTGCGAATATCCACATACCCTGCACAGATCCCCCAGCAAAAGCTCCCACAGCCTTTCACATCCTCCTTTATTCCACCCTCCTGAGCAATGCGGATATTTAGCTCTTATACGGCACTTTGGGTGCACAGGTCTCAAAGCACCTCACAAAGAAAGGTAAGTATCAGCATCCTACTTTTACAGCAGGGGAAACTGAGGCACGGAAGGGGATGGGCATTGTCCTGGGTCACATGGGAACAGAATGCAGGTCTCTGGAGAGGGCTACCTGACCTGGAAACCCTTTTATTTCCCTTCTGCAAATCCTCCTCGCTCCACCTTACACACACGCTCAGAGGAAACCGCTCAGCTTGGACACTGCGTGCCGGCTACAGCACTGGGCTGCTAAAAGGCAGCACCAGGCAATAGGAATTTGGACGCAGTCCTTCCACCTCTGCAAGGCTGGGTCTCTCCCCTGACCTCCCGGGCAGCAGGTGCAGCCAACCAGCAGAGGACTCTGATCCCTAAATAAAACTCATTCCTTTGGGCAGGACTTCACACCCCATCATAGTCAAACCTTCTCAGCTGCCTCATCAGAGGAAGGACGTTTGTCGCCTTTTGCCTCTCGTGCCGCCGTGGGGGAGCAGGTGCTGCATACGTTCTAAGGTTTGTTGAGTCTCCCTGTGCAGCTCAGGACTGGCTGCGCGCGCACACAGGAAGGCTGGGAGGAACTCCAGGAGCTGGTTACTAGACAGCAGTATGACACTATTAACTATTTAGTGTCCAAATACGCTGCAACATCTGCCACTTCTGCTGAGCCTTGGTCTAGTTAAACATGTGAATACCTTGTACTTGTATTCCTCCTTTCATCCAAGGGTCACCAGAGAGGGGCATGGACGCACTGCCTCTTTCACAGACAGGGAACCTGAGGCATGCAGAGGGTAAACGACTTAGCCAGGCCACACAGCAAGCCAGGGTCAAGAATAGCATCCCGGGTGCCAAACTTCTGCCTCAACGAGGAGAGCACACTCACCCACCTGCAGGACTGACCCAGAGCCAGGCAGGAGAGCTGATGTCTCTCGCCATGGCCCTGCAGATTGGGAGCAGATCACAGGGGAGACACAGCCCAGACCTACCTCCTTTCTCTTGCGCTCCTCCTCGAACAGGACCCTGTGGTGGTCCCGGCACTCCTGCACCGTGCACACGCAGCAGATGCACATCTTGTCCTCTTGGCAGTATAGCTCCAGTGGCCGCCCATGCCTGGAGCACCTCCTTCCATTGGCGGGGGTTTTCCTCTCGGCGCTGGAGGCCTGCACTTCCCCAGACCTGACCAGCTCCACCACGCTGCAAAGGGCGACGTTCTTCCTGAGTTCCAGCCGCTTCTCGAAGCGTTTCCTGCAGTCGGGGCAGGTGTAGTCCTTCTCGCCTGGAGGAGCCTCCTTCTCTTCCTTGTCCCAGTGGTTGTTGATACACTTCATGCAGAAGTTGTGTCCACAGGGCATGGTCACCGCTGTCCCAAACATCTCCAGGCAGATGGAGCAGACTAGCTTCTCCTCCAGCTTCCGGGGGCCTTGAGAGGCCATCCTGCCTGGGACGGGAGCAGCTGAGGCAGAGAAGGAAATCACAAACAGCAGCGTGCGAGACTAGGACAGAGCTACGTATCGCTGAGAGGAGGGACGGGCACAAGGATGGCACGGAGCCAACCAAGCTCTTAAAGGGACATGCAGGCCGGCTGCATCATGGTTTATCAACGCACGTTCTCAGCTCTCTCAAGGGGGTTTTGTGGTTTTCGTCTCCCCTAACTCCACAGCCCCTCAGTCTGCCGGCTGCCTGGGTGTCTTAAAAAGCTGCCTTCACTCAGCATCGTGCTGCTGGCTGCTTTTTTGGAGTCACTTGTTTTCTGTTTAGCCCTTGATGGGATTCTCAGCTTTCAACTTGAATGTCTATTTTCTCCAGGGACAGGGATGTCCTTTACAAACCAGGCAGAGTCCTGCATCCCCTCACCACCCACTTTTCTGTTACAGGGACCACAATCTGGGATGGAATACCCCGGCCAGAGCCCTTGGCAAACCAGAGAGGACCTACCCGAGACACTCTCCATGGGTTTTTGATGCCGCACTCCTGCCACCTGCTGGTGTGAGAGCTGAGCCTGGCAAAACCGTTTCCTGCAGAGAGCAGCTCTAGTCATACATAACCCTAGCACTGGTCAGGTGTCTTGATCCCTGGGGAGGGATTGCTAGCAAAGCTGAAATGTAACACATTTCAATGCAGCTTCATAACAGAATGTTACATTTTCCCCGTGTTCCATCAGTATGGGAAGGCAGAGCTCCTGCAAAAGGTTGCGTCATGCATTTGGGAGGTCGTTGCAAAGCCTAACCTCAGGGGCAACACCCCCCCATAATAACAAAGCCCGGCCGTGCAGATCACTAACCCGGAGGCCACTGCCACGACTGAGCGTGGGCCCCAAATTCACTAACAAGTGGAATTACTGATCCTAGGTAACAAAACAGCCTGTATTCTCCAGGAGAACCTACCAGGGGAGGGGCAGTACGGTAACATGTTAAACATCCAATGAAGGATGTAGATTCACAGTTGAGAATGAAACCGCCAATATTTGGGTCCCAGGGCTGCAGTCTGAGGCTGGTGTGCTGGGAGTTCAAAGCTCATCTGTGGAATCAAATCATCACCTAAGGTTTCTTTAAGGTTTTGTCCATTTCTTGCCCTTTTGTGACCCCATCACGGGAGATCGAGCAGGGTCCCACCCACCCCTACTGGGACCCAATGATCTTTCTGCTGTTACCACTTTAGTTGTCTCCAGGGCCTGGGTGGGTGGGTCAGAGGGGGCTGCTGGTGCATGATGCAAGGCGCTTCCCCCTCATGAGATCAAGGCCATAACACATGCCAGCAGCTGTACATTCTTGTTGTTCTGCTCCTAAGTGCCTTCAGGCTGCATGCTCTTTCAGCGAGGGCTCCGCTTGGTTTATTAGGGTGTGACTACACTGCCCACGTTACAGCGCGGCCGCAGCAGTAGTCACGCTGTATCGCCGGGGGGAGAGCTTTACTTGCTGTTATAAAATCCTCATATTTGCACACACTGCTCTGGCAATAATAAAAAGCCAGTTGCCTCTCTATGGTACTCAGAGGCTAGCTGCTTTGTCCTTTACCCTCCAAGTAACCATTAACTTGTCCCCCCATCCCCTTTCCAGGAGTTCACACTCCATCCCCATCAGAACCCCGCCCGCACACTTCACCCCCTGATCCCCGCCCAAGCTGTGGCTGGGAATCACTGCCCCCCTCCCCACACACAGACACACCCAGGGTGTTTCTCCTTCTACAGTCAATATTTGCAGAGGCTGAGCTGAAAAATCCAGGGCTCCTTACACCAACCTCAGGACATCAAAAAACATGAGATTGTTTTAAGAAAAAGATTCTACGGTATTGTGAATTTTTTGTCCCATCTTTTGACTGTTGAACTCCCCCTGCCCAGCCCCCGTGTGTGTGTGCACAGTTAGTGCCGCCCACTCTCCCAAATGTATGGGGACAGGTGATTTTGGCCCTTGTGCAGGAGTTCCTCCTGCTCATCTAACCCACCTCCTGCCCAGCAATTAATTTGGTCCCTATCAGTTCACACGTGTCCCCAGCCTCATCTCTGCTCCTCCTGAGGTTCTTCACTCCTCCCTCCCGGGCCTGGGGTGGTTGCAGCTAGGATGGGGCATATCCAGGGGCTCGTCACCTCCCTTTGCCTTAGGCTGGCTGGTAGCAGGAGGTACCAGAGGAGCTGTCCCCATTGCTCAAAGGAGGGGAAGGGGGGACCCAACCTGCCGGTCTCTTTCTGCTCTCTCCTCCGAGAACGTTTGGGTTGCTGGAGGAGGGGGAAAAGAGCTCTGCCTGCAGCCGCTCTGATTGGCTGCTCAGCTCCAGGTTGGGCAATGGGGACAGGTAGCCAATCTGAAGTCTCAAATGCACAACTGGGCTGGAGAGTGACATCTAGGGTGACTGGCTCCAGCTCCAGCCCCAGCCAGAATTCTGCTGCTTGCAAAACCAGTGGCAGCGCCGTAGACAGAGACCTCCAGTCCTTCTCCTTCCAGGGTCAGTATTTGCAGAGGTTGAGCTGAAAAACCCAGAGTTTGTTAGAACCGGACCCCGATTTCCTCACCACCACTCCACACTCTAGGGGGCTGCTTTCCTCCCCACCTACCCCCCCTATGTCCCTGCTCCCCACTCTTCCCCCCAGGCCTCCACTCTCCCCCCTAAAGACCTCCCTCTATTTCTGCAAGACTCCAGGCTACACAGACTCCCCACATATCAAGTAAGTTGCTGCCTGTACTCTCCCTGCAGCACCAGGTGGTCTGTGGTTTCATTTAGAGGAAAAATCAGGCCAATGTTATCCCATTACAGACAGAGAGTGGCCAATAAACTCCCTGTGCTCCCTCAGCAGAGGTGTCCCACCCTCAGAGAGGTATTGCACTCTGAGCAGAGCTTTGTAGGCTGCCTGAGGCGGCAGAAAGAAGAAATCTCAGGCAGTTGGTGCAAACAGAAGGGCGGATACTCAGCCACTAAATGTCTTCTGTTGGTACTTACTCCTTTAACAAGAGGGATGCCTCAGATACAGTGACAGGAGCTATTGCAGGGAATACACAGCTGGAGTCCTGGAGAGTTGGAGCAGGGGTATTGATATTATGTGGGGGTTAATTTAAGGCTGGGGATAGGTGCAGAGTCAGAGCATTGCTGATTGGAAGGCACCGTGTATCTACACAGATGCACTGCTGCCTGTGCTGTAAGCATCCCACTCGTTGGCGTGCCAATGGGTCTCAGCCCAGACCCAGGCAGGTTTGAGTTCTGGTTTTGACCCACATCTACTAACAACATACAGACCTTGTCCATGGCCTACGGGGAAGGAGGTGAGTTTGGACCATACCTGGAGTTTGTGTTCTCTTAATTTTGGGGTAGGACCCAACCCCTTCACACCCATTCTCAAACTCGAGGCAGCCTGGTCAGCCTGACGTGACCTCTATTTCAAACCCCCGCTGTGCCAGCGTTTCCACCCACATGGCAGTGCGCAGCAGGGGTGGGGGAGTGAGGGTCTGGAGCAGCAAGAGGCTGCCCTTCAGCGGTAAGCATTGATCCCATCAGTCCTGAAATGCACACAGAGCCCGATACATTTCGAACTGCTGCATTAGCTGCTGGCAGGATCCCTGTGGGTTCCCCAAAGCTCTCAGCGACTCACACCCAGTCATGTCGCCAGCTTCGCTTGGAAAATGTTTATTCAGATTTTTGAAATATCTGTACAAAAATATGAAGGATGCCGCTCAGGATCCCAGCACTGGGAAGTTCATGGCAGGGGAAGGAGACGACGCACCGAACCGACAGTTCTGCCTCTGCCAGGCTGCACAGATCACTGGGTTGGATTTAGAGGAGGGTATTTTTCTGTCACTGCACAGATACATGATCTGAACTGGCTAACCAGACCGAGTCAGCCTTGGCCCACCTATGCTTAGAGCCCTGGCTCCTGCAGTGAAGTGAGACATGGTGCCTTTGGAGGACACTGAGCCATTCAGCTACCACTAGCATCTGGCTCCTTCAGAGCGGAGATGGATACACTCTCATGGCCATAAATACCCTCTATTAATAAGGCTTTTGACCAGGTAACTGTCAATAGCAGAAATATCTGCTAACCTCAGTTCCACCCTTTCCAGTGTTGTCAATGAAACCGAGCTTGGATCACATCATGCTGTGATTCCGAAAGTCCACACTCCCCTTCTCCCAGAGACATGGAGCATCCCAGACAGTGCAGTCATGTGACGCATCTGGAGAAGGTAGAGTATTCCTGCCCCAATGGCCTGGAGCTCCTGGGGAGGTGGCAAACTCCTCAGTAAATGCCATACGTGGGCTCATGGCTGTCCCTGTACCTATCCAGGTACCTCAGAGGCTGCAGGTGTGGAAACTTCTTCTGAGGGGGGTGATACACAGGGGGCCGCACAAACTCAAACACTGGCTCCTTCATGTCTGCAAAGGGACAATGGTGAACGTTAGCCAAGAGACAGCTCAAAACCTAACCCTGCACACCAACCCACCAGGCCCCGCCCACTCTCCGTCGTTCCGAAGGTACCACGTCTCCCTCCTCGGGCAGAACGGGAGATTAACGATAGATCAAGAACACACATGTAGTTCTCTCCACCACGTACTCTCCCATTGTTATTTTAAAGCATCCACGCGAAATGGGATTCAAAGCCCACCAGAGTAAGGCTGTTCCCTTAGACTGCCATGGACACACTGAAGCCTTTAGAAGAGAAGGCGACTGCTTCTAATTCTCAACTGTAAACGTTCCCAGTGTCAGACTAATGTGCTAGTGATACGCGGCTATCTAGGAACCAGTTAGAGCAACTGTCCCAAAGGGGGACATTCAGAACCGGCCTTTACATTCACCCCGCACTCAGACACGCCCATGCCTCCAGGAACCCTCATTGCTCCATCACAGAGAGCTCGCATGGCCACAGTTGATTTAAGTCAGGTGTGTCTGACATCTGAGCAAACAGCTTTCATCCCCTTGTCCTTTCCCAACCCAGGCCCTACCAAATGACTTCGTCTCCTCCAGGA